CAAGTTTTGTGCAAAAACGCATGATCGCTCCGGCTCGCCTGGTGCGTTCCAGCCTACGTTTATTAAATGAACAACCCGGTAAAAACTTATCTGTTTTTGTGCGTTTTTCCATCTTATGCGAATGCAGAAACCGTAATGACGAGAGTATTTCTCTGTGTGTGTGTGTGTGTGTGTTCAGAATCGAGTAAACTTTGTAACCCACTTTCAACTCAGCAGTGGGGAGATCCATGATACAACACTACTGTCCCAGCCGACGCCCTTTTCTCCGCATGTAGAAAAGACCAAAACATAGGAGTACAAGCAGTACATGTTAAACTGTAAAGCAATAACCATTCATACTATTGACGACCTGACTGCGTCAAGTTTAGCGCAAAAATGTAAGGTCGCACTGGCAAGCCTGATGCGCTGCTACCTGGGTTTTATTAAAAGGTAACCCGCGAGCTTAAGTAAGCACGTAAATCAGGCTCGCGTGTCGCCAAAGATTGCCCACGCCTGCGCTAGGGTTTCAAATGCGTCTGCCGAAAAGAAAACACGTAAATTTTTGCAGAACGGAATTTTAGGAACTATATAAGATAGGGAGCTAAAATTTCACAGGGATGCTGCTTGCCCATGTGAGCTGAGGATTTCAAGTCCAGTGGTCACTTACACTTACAACACACGTACAGGCACGTCAAAATTTCTGGTGTCACCGTGCTAATTTAGTCAGAAAAGCATGGTAGAAATTTTGAGAGACTGTTAGCGCCTGTGTGTGGACTTCACTACCTTAAACTAAGTTGGATTGTGATTGCGTCACGCGTAATATCACTTCAGAGTTTCGTAGCGAAAACACGATTTTGAGAACCAGGCAAAGCTAGGGCGATGAGATTTTATGAGAATTTTCTGTGGCGATGTGCGACTTGATGATTTTACATTCAGCTTCAAAACACGCCTAGGCCCTGCGTTAAGCGCAAGTAAATTTTAAATTTCGGTACAAGATTGGCACCTATTTAAGTTTTCATCTAAAAAAGAGCGGGAATCCTAAATTTTGTGAAAATGTTAATTGTCCATATGCAACTTAGGAGCCATAAAAAGAGATTCTGCTTATGCATTTGCGTTGCACGCCGACGCGTCCAAGGTTCAAACTGCAACACATTCGTTATCTTTTTTTCTCCAGTAGCCAGAAAGGCAAGAAAGCAGAAATTTTGCGAAAATACCGACCTAGCTTGTGCCTCACTAAAAGTGCAAAATCGGCTTTCACGAATGCCTAAGTTTCGTTTGCGGACACGGCGTTTTTCGTCGAAAACATCTCTTCAGGATAGTACCGGAGACCGTGACTCCACAGGCCCCACATGGCAACACCACCACCCCAGCCGATGCCAAAAACCCAGGGGAAGATTTGAAAAATTATCAACCTGAATGCTCATGTTCAACTGTAAAAAAAGAACCATTTATGCTGTCAAGACTAGCGCAAAAATGCATGATCTCACTGGAAACGTGGTGCGCGTCGCTACCTGGATTTTCTTAAATATAGAAAGAGGAAAATACAAGAAATAGACTCCCTAGTCAGGAAACACAGAAGCGCGCTCAACTCCAAGTGACTCTCTTTCTTTTTTTGTTCTTGTTAATTCATATGCGTGCAGTCGCATTTAAATGTCAATACTGCGTCTCATTCTACTTTTTCCGCAGTTTAATAGTTTCAGATAATTTTAATTCCCCTTAATTTTTCCTATTTCGAAGCAAGAATTTGCCTTTTCTATTCTTACTATAATTGACGCCCTCATTGACTTAGTTGTTTACAACTTTTTAGTTCTGATAGTGCTCATAATCTAAGAGCATCATTATTTAACTTTTAGTGATGACGCTCATGCGCAGGCAATGGTTGCGTCGTTTTGCGGCCGTTCGTTTGACGATGGTGAAACAAACGAAATTGCACAGCGAATACGTCGTGCCACTGCCAACATCAACGTTGAAATTGAAACTTTACTGGAATTCCTTACGCATAAAGGCGCTATTGGTTAATATTTATAGCAGCTATCCGTGATCTCTTCGTTCCGGAAAGCTGGGAAACCGAAGGTGATTGAGCTATGAGATTTGGACCAAATATATTATAACATTAGAACATCGAAGGGCACTGCAAATGAGCCTCATCTTCAAGTGCGTAGGCAAACTGTCACAGAAGTTAGTTTTCTATCATCCAAATAAGAACAGTGGCCTAGGCTACTTCGGGACTTGATTTTTCACAGTCTATGTTAGTGATGGATAAAAGAAAAGTAATTTCCAAATATTTTTGCAATTTCTTCTGCTTTTCCGAGCTAAACATCGCCTTCAGAGCGCGACTTTAACTGGAAGAGACAATGTATTGACTTTTAGAAAGTTTTTGTAAAATCTTTTGTCTTTTAGATTTCCATAAATACTGGGTGTTCCAAAAAAGATCTTTGTATAGAAGTCAAGAGTTTAGGAGAGTTGGTCTTTAAGTGCAGCTTTTTTGTGTTAATACTGGCTTTCAGGTATCGAAATCATGCCATGCTTTAGTACTGGATTTACTGAACTTTTTCCATTGCACGTCACATTTTAATGATAAATGAAGGATCTAGAGTATAAAAACCTGCGGCTTTTGACATTTTCTTATTCCTTATGAGAAACAGACAGTTGATTCACATTTCCGTATTCAGATTGATTTTTTTTTAATTTATTGGCCTTCATCCTACCTCCCCACTTCCCAGGTCTGAGTTTCAGTTTTCGGCAGCCAGAGATATCCGTTTGCAGCGGAGGCTTACATCAATCTTACCAATAAAAGTATGCGCGAAATTAACACCATTCCCCTTCCCCCTTGACCCCTCGAATATCAACGCTTTTGGAGCCCTGAATGGACGTCTGCTTACTCTATTCTTGTCCTCTCACTTTCATGAAATCACATTTATTTTAACAGATCTTTGTTTTAGAAGGAAGTCTTTCAAACTTTTGCGCTAAACGTTTCTGTTTGCTCAGTTTCGCTTTCCCACCTCTTCGATATTTTGTACCCTAGAGAGCTATAAAATTTCAAAAATTTTTTCTGTATTACGTCTTAGCAAGGATCGCCTTTAAACCTAAACCAACGAAAAAATTGAATCTCGGAACACCATGACATCTGGGGCTGTGCTTGTGCAGCTTAGTAATGTACGGCTGGAGGCGAGCTCACTCACATTTTTTCGCGGATAGATATTTTGGGCACGCGGTTGTTGGTTTTGAAATGACATTAGGATAGTGATAATGCGTAAGTAATAATAAGACTATGATAAGTAGTAATAAAAAACATGAAAAATGGTGTAATAACATACAAAGAAAGGAGTAAAGCGAAAGTAAAAAGTTAAGATTAGGAACAGCTGAACTGAAATGTTTCGGTCCATAGAAAGCATCACAGTAATGTTCTGGCTTACCAAGTCGTTATAAATCAAGGCCTCTCCGTTTCTGATCTCATGCGCTTGCCTGATATCAAACTTGAAGCAATATGTTTAGGAAGTGATCTTTGTCCTCTCACTATTCATTATTGTTTAGTCATTGTGCTTTTTCCTCCACTTCCACCGCCTCTCCGCTTCCTCTCCATCTCTCGGAAAAAAGGAACTAAAGAAATAAAAATTGTAACTCGAAAATATTAGTTGATATTAGATGATAAATCTCATCTTTTCGCGTTCTTATCCTGTTTGGAAAACAGGAATTGTGAAAAACCTAAGTAACATTAATGAATTGGTCCGGCGGATATAAGTGAAGAAATAATAAGCTTGAAAGTTGATTCCGGATTTTTATCTTCATTACTTGGCAGTAAGTTTATAAATTGTCCCACTACTCTGCCCTTCTCTCCCTACCTCTCTTACGCCTTCCTCCCCACCAAACGCTCCGACTTCTTAATTAGTACTGTCACCGAAAACTTGATCGTGAGGTTATGGTCTGCTTGATTGATTTTAATTCCCTTCATGTTATGTGAATTACTTACTTTGAACACTTGTTAATTCATTGTAAGATTTGTTCTTGCCATTGGCAATTTCTCTGTCCTTCTCTATTTTGATCTCCTTTCATCCAAATAATTCCATACAGGCATTCAAGTGGTTCTTTTTACCACATTGGTGGCATTCCTTCTGTGTCATTTTAACGTTATACTTCATTGAAATTTAGCCTCCAATAATTTCGATTTTGCAGCTTACCTTGTATTAGAGTTGAGTAGCTTGGACTTGTGCCTGAGACTGAGGGTACGATAAATTTTAAAGGCTGTTTTTAGATTTTTAGCATTAAATTAATTGAACAATTAAAACTATAAGATTCACAAGTCTGTAGTTTATCATAATGCTATACCAGTCACTTACACTTAAATTTAAATCCAGTGACAAAGGAGACAAACAAGTCTTAAAATTGATTTCAGCACTGAAGTTATTTTGGCGTGGTTAATCCATGCAGCAACGAGCACGAGGACTTGTGGTGCAACTACCCGTTTTTGCAGTCTGAATCCCACCCTACTTCTTTGCGAGACGTTAGCATTTGTAAGAGCTGCTATTACTTTTTTCGCCTCCCGCAGAATCAAGTAGTATTCTCATAAAATTAAGCCTTCTTGTTTGTCTTAATGCCGAGAGAGTTGGATGACAGCAGCGTAGCAGACTGCACATTTAATACGCCCAAGCCTATCTTACGCTTGCGGCCCGCATATGGTTAGCAAACATCCTCAGAAAAATACTGACTCCTGCTCAACTTGTTTAATGAATTAACTGGGTGTCAACAGTGTCCCAAGTTAAACTTCATGCGCGCAATCAAAACGCAGGTGTGCTTTAAGGCTCAGTTTGATATATTTAATTCGCAAATGAACATAGATTAATTTAATGAATGCTACCTTAACTGTTTATTGAAATCGCTTTTCCTTACAGATATTTTTATGCGCTTTTGCCGTGCAGCGCCTGAGCGTTGCAGTAGGTAACGATCCTGGAGAGTTGCAGTAGACAACGATATTGCAACGATCCTGTCTGTGTGTGCATGCATGTGTGTGTGTGTGTGTGTGCATGTGTGTGTGTGTGTGTGTGTGTGCGTGTGTGTGTTCAGGTATTTTGACTCGGCAGCCAAGCAAGCTCCGGCGCCTAAATTTTGCCTGTTAGTTCCCGGGCCAAGTATCACCCCAGGACCGCGATACCAACCCTCACGCACATTTGGGCCCTGCGTGCGAGCACGTGGAAGTTTTGGCGGAAAAACTGCTAACTCGGGAACGAGAAGAGCTAGAAAGCCGAAACTTTATGGGAATGTTCCCTACCCATATACAACCAGAAGACTTCAAATTCAGTTCTTTAGAACCGCCTATTTCTCAAGTACGGGCACGTGAAAGTTTTGGCGCGAAAATTGCTAACTCGGGTATGAGGAAGGCTGAAAGAAAATTGCTAACTGGGGTATGAGGAAGGCTGAAAGAAAATTGCTAACTCGGATATGGGGAAGGCTTTTAACGGAATGTTCCTTACTTATGTGCGACTAAAAGATTTCAAATTCAACTCTTCTAGTGGGGTCTTTTTTACTTACCAACAATCTTCCATTTCTCGGGTCACTGGAGCCGGTATCTACAGCTGCATGCCACTTAGTTTCACACTTCGTGAACTTCAAAGGCCAGTATGTAACAAATTCTAGCTACTGTAATTCCTTAGGGCCTTGCCACTGCAGTACGAAATAGTGTGAACACGCGTGTTCGCACCAGTCCACCTGGTGCGTTCCAGCCTGGGTTGATGTGTCGCGCACCAAAGCTCATTCTACGTGCTCGCGTGTGGGAAACAGAAATTCTCGTAAAGTGGAAGACTGAATTTTCATAAGCCTTTGTAAAATTAGAGCTGTTTGCTACCCACTTATTTGCTCTCAAAAGTAAGTTCGGCTTTCGCGCCCCCTACATTTTAAGTACACACGCGTAAAATTTGACGCAGACATTTGCAATTTCGAAACTAAGGCAACTAGAGTGCCGAAATTTTCTGAGGATGGCCCAAAGCCATGTTAGGCTGGTGCGCCTGAAAACAATTTCACTTTCCTTCTAGGTCTGGTGTAGAAACACATAAAATTTGATGCAGCTTTGCAACAAAAGCAGGTAAAGTGTCGGAATTTTCTTATCATGGTCGTTGACCGTGTTTAAGAAAGTTCACATTAAAAAAATGGTCTCGTTTTCCTCTTCACACAGAAATGTGTGAAATTTGATGTAACTCCACAGGCAAAGCAGCTAAATTACTTAATTTTTCCGGGCATGGCCCAAGATCGTATGTACTGGGAATCCTTCTGATATTTTATTACACCGTTGTGACCATTCTCAATTCGCTTAGTAACAATTATCTTCGCAAAACTCTTTAACTTAGAAACAGGAATTTGTGTACAAAACAGTGCATATTCACACCATTAAAGGCGGTCCGGTCGCAACAAATTACGATATTGCGGAAGGCAGACGATCTTCTCAGGTCTCATCGTTGAAGCTGTGGCAGCGTTCTAATCTTGGTCGTCCGTTGTTAGGTTTTTTGTCGTCCAAAGCTCACATCTCAAGTGATCCTGGTTTTGTAAGGAAATAATGAATTCGGCACATCAAGAATGCAAATGTGCACAATATTTCGGCACACTAGCCCAATGGTTAGGGGGTCCTGCGTTCCTTGTTTTCGCAAACGAAAGTGCATTATGGTCAAGTAATGCTGCCAGTGTGTGTGTGCATATGTTTGTGAAAACTGGGAAACTGGAATCTAAGGATACAGTCTTATCTTCATTAGTCCAAAATCTACAATCAAAAGAAGACCAATGTTTAATTGGTGAGGATGGAGGAGAGGATGGGGGAAGGTGCATTCTGGAATTATCATGATTTAGTTACCAAATAAAGCAGAGTAGTTCAAGGTTACCCCTCAAAAATTACTTTGTCTAAATCTACGAACCTCACCTTTAGCGTTTACGCTGGTTCTGAATTAAATTTGAAAAAAAAAAGAGCTATGAACTTGAACTTGCTTACTTTTGATGTACCGAACTGGTGAAAAAATTGTAATACCTCAGTCTTCAACGAAGCATATTTTGGTTTTGAACTTGAACAAGTGTTTGAGCAGTTTTTATGCGTTTTTGCATAATGTGCAAAAGCACGTATTGTGACGGCCCCGGTGTGTGTGTGTGTGTATGTGTGTGTTTGTGTATGTTTATGTGTGTGTGCGTCTGTCCGGGTATTTCAACTCGGCACTCAAGCAAGCTCCGGCGCCAAAATTTTG